TCGGTTCCATAATCAACACCGATTGAAGCAACAGTGAAGACATCGGATACTGTATTGCACTGGGCAGATCTGCTGCCAGAGACCTCTTTCAAGTGCTGAAGAGCAAAGATGTTTCCTTGAAGACTAAGGTGCGCTTGACAAGCCATGGTATTTTCATTTGCCTCGTTTACATGTGAAGACTGAAAAATGAATAAGGAAGACCGAAGAAGAGTTGCTTTTGAGTTGTGGTGTTGGTGAAGAATACTGAAAGTACCATGGACTGCCAGAAGAACTAACAAATCTGTCCTGGAAGAAAGAATGGCCAGACTTCATCTCACCTATTTTGGTCATGTTGTTGGGAGGGACGATTCCCTGGAGGAGGATATCGTGCATGGTAAAGTGGAGGGTCAACCAAAAAGGGGAAGGTCCTTAATGAGATGGATTGACAAAGTGGCTGAAACAGTGGGCTCAGGTATAGTAAGTATTGTGAGGCTGGCACGGGACCAGGCAGTGGTTCATTCTGTTGTACCTGGGGTTGCTATGAGTCGGTGCCAACTCGATGGCACCTCACAGCAACAACAACTGGTGGCCAGTTGGTAGGGCATTTGGCTGCTAACCAGAAGGTCAATGGTTCAAACCCATGAGCTGCTCTGCAGGAGGAAGATGAGGCAGTTTACTTCTGTAAAGATTTATAGCCTTGGGATCCCTGTGGGGGGCGCTGAGTCAGAATCGACTTGATGGCAACAAGTTTTACTTTTTATGACCGAAGATTTAGAAGACACAGTGACGAGGACTGTGAAGCCCACCGTGTCACCTGCTTCAGTGATAACCAGCACAGTCCAGCTTGCTTCATCTGAACATTCCCAGACTATTTGAAACAAACCCCAGCATCATATAATTTTAAAAAAATAATATCTTGTGCTTTTGGTGGGCAGCTACACACGTTCAGTGATGTTTGTTCCATTCTCACAATGGGTGAAATCTCTTTATTTTCATTCTGGTTGTTCTGTTTCCATTAATCTAGTTTTCCTGCTCCCATACTGTCTTGTCTTTGTTTTTAAATAGTCATTGACCATTTTGTTTCATATAGATGACTTTTTTTAAGGAGCACCATACCTATGGGTGATATTCTTTATTTTGTGAGGCAATCTGTTACTTAACTTCCAGGTGACCTCAAGGGTTAGGGTGGTATTTTGGTTACCTAGTGCTGCTCTGACAAGAATATATACCACAAATGGATGGCCTTAACAAACGGGAGTTTATTCTTACAATTTGGAGGCTTTAAGTCCAAGTTCAAAGTGCCAGGCT